CTGAGTAGTCTGTCTCAACCCACTTCTCACAGGAAAAGGTCTACAAGTGTATGCCGGCATGACGTCACAAGATGCCATGGACTATGACAAGTTAAAAGTAGCATTGCTGAAACTCTATGAACTTACTGGGGAAGCTTTATTTGGAAGTTCAGAGAAGTCAAACTTGACACTGGAGTTTGTGTCAACATCTATGAAGATACTTCACAAGATTGCCTAACATGGCCAAGTGTGAAAATAGTTTTGAAGTACTGGCAGATCTACTAATACATGAACAGCTCATGATCACCTGCTCAACTTATGTGTCACTGTTCATAAAGGAGAGAGCACCAAAAGATGTGGATGAGGTGATCAACCTGGCAGAACAGCATATAGAAGCCCATTGAGGGAGTATAATTGGCATATCAAAGTATAACCACTTAAAGTTGAAACAAGGAATGACTGACCAGAAGCAGGATGCTGTCAAAGGTGACAGAAGGGAAAAGAAATGTTATGTTTGTAATAAAATCTAGTACATTGGAGTGAGTGTAAGTCTGTCACCAAGAAGCAACAGCAGAAATCTCAACAAAAAGGAAAGAGATGCTATGTTTATTGCAAAGTGGGGCACATTGTGAGAACATGCAAGTCTGTTACACACAAACAGCAGCTGAAATTTCATTATAAAACAGCTGGAGCTACCTAAAAATATGGTGCTAACAAGAAAAGATGTTGCTGCCAGAAAAAAACAGAATAGAGACAACACATTAGATTCACCACAAGAAGGAAGTGCAATCTCCACGACTAAACAGTGCACATCATTCAGTATATTGCAACAATTGTAACAATATTGTACGAGATTTAATTCTAGCGAAGTTGTGCTTTTATTTGAAGGGAGTTCATTTATAATAGATAAACTTTCTTTAATTAAAAGTTCAATACTGGATGATCCCGATGATGTGAATTTTTTAAACAAGGTAGAGTGTTTGCTGTTTTCACTATGTGTGTGAATTGCAAAGTTTGGAGGATTTGATAATTTTTTACCAGTTCTGCTTGATACTCCTATATGTTTGCAGGTGTAATTGGCAAGTAGTTTTGCCAATGTGAGTAGAATTACAGCCACCACGTGTATTTATACACAATCCAGAAATGCAGTAATAGGTTTTTAGATCTGAATAGATTTTGAATCTTCAGAGATGATTTAAATATAATTTATAGTTTAACCTGTGGATAAAATGTTTTACTTCTTCTTGAAATTTGTGACTTCATTATGAAACTTTGTTTACCTAAGAAAAGGGATGGTCAGTCTTAATAGGTATTTGTGTACAGGATATGATTTCATTTGGGGTTCAGTTTTGTTAGAAAGGAACTTACATGTTAGTGCTTGAATAAAATTGTTTATTAGAATGTTCTGTAACGTGCTTGTTTCAGCATGAAGAGAGAGGTAGTCAGAACAGATGTTATATGTTCTACTGAAAAGATTGATTCTAAGGTTACTTTTAAAGGTGATCAGGATAAAGCTATTGAAATGAGTATGTAATCCTGTATTTGTTTTCCTATGATAAACAGATGCTGTAAACTAATTATCTAATCTGATGATTTTGATATCAAGAATGGGCAATTTATAATTTTTTTCACTTTCACAAGTAAAATTAATGTTAGGGTGCTTTGAATTTATATTTTATCTTGTTCAATTTAGCTTGATGAAGAGGGAATATGCACATTCTGAAATATTCAAGAATTAAATATTTGTAACCATGCACATTTGTGTCAAATGTTTGTTGTTGTTGCCATCATACTGTTGTGTATCACTTAACTTGAATTCCTGTTGAATGAATCTGTTGCTAAGCTATTACATCTTCTAAATAATAGCAGCATGTGGAATCTTATAAACCCAATAATGCTACTTCCATTTATCTCTTGAACTTGGAAGGGCATTACATAAACCAAAATCCATTCAGTTAAATTGATATAAAGGTAGTTTTTCTCTGTCTTTTTCTTTGGTCTCATCTTGCCAATAACCACTCTGCAAGTGCATGGACGAAAAGTACTTACTCTGAAATAAGCAATTTATGGTGTCTTGTATATTTGGTAATGTATATGTGTCCTTGATCATGACCTTAATTAACTTCCTAAAGTCAACATAGAAAGTAATTTTGCCATCTTTTTTAGGAACTTAAACTAGAAGGGAAGGGGCAGCATAAGGACTGCTTCTATAGGGTTTAATTCTTAAATGCTATGATTTAACTTCCAAAAAATAGCAACATATTCCAAAATGAATGGGACCAGAACTGTTATAAAAACAAGTTAACTGCAGATGTTTCTTTTCTCTCACATTCCTCTTAATATATAAATTGCAGATCTTTACACACTTCTGATTTCAAGCCACAGTGGTCAAATTAAGAGGAAAAATATATTTACAGTTAACTTGCTTTTATAATGATTTTCATTCTTCCCTGTGCTTCTTTAGCAAACTCTCTGTGTTACAGATCTACTGCTTGTTAATACTATCTTAAGTTACATTTTTTTTGTGTACAAACACCTGTTGTCTAATTAGTATACTTTATTCCCAGATTTATGGACAGACTCACCTCTTTGTTGAGGTAGCATACTTAGTTGTCTCATGATCATATTAGGCATTGATCATCTTCTATTAAGATTTGTCCCTTTATAGTCAAAAGCTGCAAGCTAGCATTAACTTGTTGTATTCCTTAATAAACCTTTTTTTCCTCACCTGCAGTTCTTCTTCTTAATATTATATTTCAGCTGTATATGTATCTTTCCAGTCTGAAGTATATGATGTTTTGTCTATTGCATCTAAAAAATTTCAGTGTTATTATCTTTCTTACCACAAAATAAAGGAATTGTATTTCTAAGTTTCTTGGAGCCACTCATTCTTGCAGGTTCCAGCAATTGTGCTTGCAAGGCACTTGTGGCTTTACATTGGATTTAGTGATGGTGGTGGTGGGGTTTAACACCTTATGGTTCTGTTTTCATATCTACATCTCCCATAGCTACTTTCAACTATTTATCTTACTTATACTGTATTATTCTACTTAACCGTAATGTAATGAATAAAAGGCTAACACATCAATGAAAATTCAACAGCAATTCTTGATTCCTTCAGAACAAAAATGAGTCTACTCTCCTTAAATTCAGAATGAATATCTTCTGAAAGTGCCAAAACTGCATTCACAGTACTCAATCAAATAACAGACAGTGGAATGTGGACGTATCTCTGTTCCATGTGACAATCACAAAGGTATTCCCACTACATAAGATCAACAAAGATGCAGTACAGCTATACCATAAATAGCAGATATGTTTCTTAACCAATCAAGCAATAGGAAGTAACACCTCAGGCTGAATTTTGCAAACTCCCTCAACTAGATATTTTTCAAAATATAAGAATTGTTATAGTTAGAATGTATGTCATATTGGCATACTAAACAAAGAACTGTGGAAGTAAATGCATTTCTGGAATTTCTTATTCACCACTTTTATATTGTAATATTTTTACTTTCTTGAAAACATTAACAGTGTATTTGGTTGTCAATATTTACATTTTATTACTGATGAAAAAGAGATCAAGGAAAGTAAATATTATTTTTAACCTACTTTGGACTCTTTTTGGAGACTCATTGTGATTACTACACACACACACACAAACACAATTTTTGTTGTAAAAGCTGTTTTTGAAGTCATTAAATGTTGTATAGGTGAATTCAAGCAAAATATTTCTTTAACTTTCATGAAATAGGATATTTTACACTGTACATTCAGAAGTTCACTAACAGAAACTGTTATCAATAGCGGTGGTATCATATGTTTGCTCAGTTGGACGGTTTTTGTATAGTTATTTTACTTATACATGTTTAAATCTTAATTCTTCAAATTGTTATGTTCTTAAACTTGTTTTTTTGTTAATTGTGCTTTCACATTTGTCATGAAAAGTCTTTCTGGTTATTATTGCTTGTAGTGCTCACTTCAAGACTCTTCTGTTATCCTATGGAATACATATGATCCTGAAGAAAATGATCTGGATCAATTACTTGAACAAGTACTCATCTTACCACATGATGAAGGAATTCTATCACTAGCTAAGGAGAGAGGCAAGACATTGTATAGTAATCTGTCTCTTGAGAATAGGAAAATCAAACTGAACATAATGGTAAGTTACAGTAAATTGTAAAATATATTTACTTGAAAAGATGCAGAGGGGAGGTGTATATATATATATATGTGCATGGTACTTTTAGAGGATTGCTGTAGGAACACACACCAATATTGTGAGTAAGGTTCACAAAATATATCAAGCACATCCATGTTGTTTTTCACTATTTCTTTCTTTTAATACATTTTCATATCACCATGTTTGAAACAACATAAATATAGCTGCTTACATTTAACCCTATAATGATGATGCCATTTTTAAAACATTTTTTGCGCACATGTTACTATTGCCATTTTACTGTCAATGTATTTTAATAAAATTATCAAGTATGTCATAATTCAAAGTTTTATATTATCTAAGTTTTATTCCTTTATTTCAAAAGAAACCTCTAAAATTTTATTTAAAATTTGAGTTTTGATATCTCATTACACACTTGCAGTTATGATTCTCAATCTTAAGAGTTGGTATAGAAAAAACTTTTGGTGTAATGAAAACAATTCCATGCATATGTTAAAAGTACAGTATAAGAGGTTGTTTACCAGTAATGTAATTCCTTCTAAGAACATTTCCCTAGGGGAAATGTTTGTAAAATTTCCTCTATTCAGGATAAGCCACACTCACTTGCAAAGTAGAAGCTGTGTTGCTAATTGACAGTTTTAAGTTGAATGGCATGTTAAAATCAATAGAAATAGCAGGTTTCCCATTGGAATGTCACTAAATTAACAATAAATGTAGAAATATATATCTGTTTAGAAATGAGATAGTATATTCTTGAGAGTGGGGTCCCTAGTGCTTGGCTATTTTTTCTTGCCTTATACATAGTTTGATAGACAATTAAATTGCATTTTGGTTTAATTTTATGTTTTAATTGGTTATGTATTATTTGTGTTTTCAAAATCATAATTAAAATGATTAATGATTTTTTTAAATATATTCTATGCTTTGCTCAACCAGCTTTCGTAAAGTTAGTAAGAGCAAACAACATTTTGCTAGAGGCTAAAACCATCTCTACTAAATGTTAATATTATATCATCCATGGGTACCTATTGTTGTGTATTGACATAAGTAATCAAAGATAAAGAACAGGAAAGGAAAGTAAAACATTAAAAATAAACTAAGCGAAAAGATAGACATATTATTACACACATGACCAAAAGAAGATATTTTATGATTGTTCAACGAAGAGTTAAAAGATATGCACATATTTCAATTTCTTAATTTTAAGCATTTCATTGCACTGTACATTGATGATAATAGCTAGAGTTAGTGATATGGTAAGATGTAAAATAAAACATAAACATTTGCCTTAAAATACTTGATAATCATTTAGGAGGTCCTAAAGATTATGCAAGTGAATTGTGAATACTGTAAGATAATAAATAATATTTTTATACTCAAAATGAAAATAACCTTGTAGGGCAACTACTCAGAGTGTTAAGTGCAAATAACTACATTAACTCTTTCAGCACAGGCTCGTTCCCTGGGACTCACCTAATGCCCATTTTGTGTTTGTTATAGTTTTCATGCTATAACTTTTATATTAGTAAGCGTATGTTAATAAAATTTGGCAGAGTATCAGTAAACATTACAATGCTATCATATGCAAAATATCAAATTCTCTTATTAAGTCTTAAGGTTTGTAAAGCAATGTTTTTATCATGCCTTTTTTTTATTTTAAGATTAAAAATACTTTTATGCATCAGAAAATTTTCAAATTTCACATGCGAAATCTTTATAATGTCCAGATAGTTATCAAACGTTTTTTAAGAAAAAACTTTATATTTTATCTGTTATTTTCACTAACAAATCTCTGTATAGGTTGTTTGGTAGATTTGTAACTACCATAAAAATTAGGAAATAAATATAAATTATGCCTCTTTCATTCTAGAATTACAACAAATTACAACACGAAAACATAAATGTTTTGACTAAATAGCTTAAATCTCATAACATTTTACATTAAAATATATTTATTTTTTATAATACTGACCTTTCAACCATGCCTGGCTAACAATAGAGAAGTTACAATGATGAAGCACACATGCACTCATGTTACTGTATCCAATAATATAAAACTGACGTTTAGTCTTTACAAAGTGACTTGTCTTGGCTGTGTTTTAGTAGACTAGTATTTTGTAAAATATAGTCACATTTCAATTATTTTACATTATAGATGTATATAGATCATTGCTGTTTAGAAATAAGTATTAAGCTTATTTTTCTTAAAACATATAACAGTAAATAAAGAGGTAAAGCAAACAATTATCTCTTCTAGTTATGACTTTTGTACTCAGTTGCTGCTTGACATAGGTTGTTAAGCCTTTTAAAATTTTGCACGTGGAGGATATGAAACGAAATCATTTTTTCTAGGTTTTATATATACAGTTGAATAATCAAAAAGTCATAAATTACTATATTAATACCATTGAATTCCACTATAATTTATCAAGCTTAGTAACTAAGCTGTATTTGGGTCTAAAAAAATATGAAATTTTGAGCAGACTAAAGACACAACCTACATCCTTGAAATCTAAGGTCGAAAGAAAGAGATGGCATCCTCAGAATTTAAAATGGCTAAGAAAGCCACTAGGGGGACATTCTGAGCTTTCCATTGATTATTTATGTCATATTTTGAAGTAAATGTATATAAGGGAGCATTTCCAAAAAGGGAAAGAGGTGGGCAGGGTGCTACTGCATTTGATTTATTACATGAGCAACATCTTAGCAAAAAGAATAGATAAGAGGTTCTTATTATATATTCTATCTTGTAGATATCGGTAATTTGAGTTCCTAATTCATACAAAACTATAGACTTAGTATTTTGACATTACAAACATCTAATTTGAACCAGTGCTGCATTCAACATACCACATTACACACAAAAATCAATGTTTTTTTAACATATACTTTTAAGTTAAGAAATTGAATAATGTATAATACTAAAATTTGAATTATAATCTACAGTTTGATACCAAACGTATAGACATAAATTCATGTAATAGTAGTTCAATAAAACTTTGAATGTGAGCCAACAAATGCAGCGACATGGCTTTTGTTTAAATAACGAATTTTTATTAGAAGTAGCAGATAACACCAAAATTAAATATTTTTCTCAACCACATACTTTTATGAAAGTTCATGTCAAGTTTTAAACAATTTTATTCATTCATTTGATTTTTGGAATGAAATATAATGAAAGTTACATAACATGTTGCACTTTGCAGCACGTCGTTGTTATTGAGTTAAAATGTAGGTTAACTAAGTTAACTGTATGTGAATTAAGACTTTCTTGGCCCTGAGTGATAAAATTATCTTCTTTGTCTGGAAGTAATAAAATGAAATCAGAAGTTGTAAATAAAAACATTCAATAGAAATCAGAACCTAAAAAAAATAAATATAAGTTGTATCCAAAGTCAGACATAGAATAATTACTTAATTTTAGAAAATAATTTCATTGAGGAATTATACTTTCTTGTTTCGGTTGAGTGGTATAGGCTAAAGACCATCATTAAATCTAACAATGATGCTTATCCCAAAGCCTATAGCATACAACAGGCACATGCAAGTATTCAAACTTTAAGGCTGCAGAATATATAGTTTAGGTCAGTTACAGTCAGGATCATTATCTAATAAAAGTCAGGAAAAACAAGAACAGTGATAACGCCTCCAGTACCTACGAAATTAAATGTAAATTACTCACCATAAAATAGTCATTACTCAGAAAAACCATAATTTTTATATCCTTCAATTTTGTTTGGTAAAATAAATGAAAATCAGACCCCTCCTGCCACACCCACCAGTCACATCCATTCTTTCAGGATTTCTTAATAGTTCTCTCTTCATTTAATTATGTATTACCTATAACCAATAGAAAGCCAAGGTTTTCATCTATCAAATGAAGTGTTATATTACATTGTGTTCTGAACAGATAATTGTCAGTTTCACTTGTAGTACAAACTTCGTTCCTAGGGGAAAGGAAACGACTAGTTTGGATGAATTTATAACCTTCTTGTTGCATAGTTAGAAAGCAAGAAAAATTGTGACTGTTAAGGAAAATTGTCTGCTTTTTGCATGTTATTATTCTATATTCTTTGGCACATTATTTAATTATAATTAGAATTATTTAATGCACTACTACCATTAGTATAAAAAAGGTAGGGTTAAGTGTCATCAATAGTCAACAGCAAAAAATAAGAATACTTGAGTAAGTACTATATTTCTTGTTTTTCATGTTTATTCTTTATTTATTATTATAAAAGTAACTAAAATGTAAGAAAAGGGATTTCTTTAGGTTAGTTAAGTTTATATTAGGTAAAATAAACAACAATAATAATATAAAAATATTTCATGGGCCATGCATACGAGCAGCTCATGGGTAAGGTAATTCGATAGCGTAACATGACCTCCACATTCCTCAAGTGATTTACAACTTATAATGACACAAATAGTAGTTAGACATAGTTCAAAGAGCAATAAAACAATAAAATTTATTATAAATAGATGTGTACTGTTATGAGTTTAAAGCTACTTAAGATAAACGATTGTAGTTTCATGTTGCAATTTGATATTATACCAGAAAGAAAAAAAGATAATTTACATTTATTTCAATTTTATTTTGAGGGTTACGAGGTTGGCCAAGTTGACCAACCATGTATAGAGTTAGGGTAGAGAAAATAACAGATATAATATTAAGTTTTACTGAAAACAAATATTTGAAATGCATTTAGGATGTTTAGAGATTACACAAATGAAATTTGAGATTTTTGAGATGAAGACAAGTATTTTTAATCTTAACATGAAAATCACTTTTCACATGGACTATTCAAAGCAAATACTCAATATATTTATGGACAAATTTTTTTTTTAGTTTATTAAAAGTACTTCCCTAAAAAATATGATTTTTTTTGTATGTGAAAGACTTATAATGTTTACTGAAAGACTGCCAAATTTCATTAAGATATATGTACTATTATTTAAAGTTGGTAGTATCAAATCTATAAAGACTTTGAACAAGAACAAATTGACATAGCCTGTGTTGAGAGAGCCAAGATGAGTTACTGAGTATAGAGGTTGTGTTGACCTCCTTTTCGTGGAGGGCTGTTGTTGCATGATTATGTCTTCATGCATCAGCATGGTTCACAATAAACACATGCATTTTCTGTGGGAGTTAGCTTAAGGTTAGTGACATGCAAATCTCACAGGCAGACACACGAGGGATTTAGCTATCCTATGTGAAGAGATATCTATTAGAAATACATTTTCTGATTAGGAAAATGTTAACTCTCTGACTACATCTGGATGCAAATACATTGAGTATGGATAATTTCTAATAATTTACATATTTTTCTTGTATAAATTGTCTTATTTGGCTAAAAAATCTTACATTCTTTCTAATCATCCTAAAATCATTACTTTGCCTGATAAGCTTGAATTAATTGTTTATATGCAACATTCCTCTGAACACTTTTTGTCACTTTTGTTTCAGATGGACTTTGAATGTGTGATTAAATTGCAACTAATGAATTATGTTTTGATTTATCTATAGTGACATTGTTTAGGCAACATATATGATTTCCTGCCAGTCCAAATACATGTATTTTGTGTCTAGTTTTAACTTCAGTTTTAAATTCCATGGTTAATACATTTTTACATCATGAGCACATCTTCCAGAAAAAGTGTGTATTGTGTTTTGAAAACCTTTTGATTTTCTGCTTTAAATAGAATCTAAGTTTAAATTATAAGCGTTTAGCTAAATCATTGTTTATATCAATTATTGATTCAGTAATTTCATGATAAAGCAAAATGAATGTGATGATAGGAAGCATTTATTAAACATTTCAGAATCATCAGAATTCCATCATCAGTAATTCAGAGCTACAGAACAAACAATATTTATAATTACAACAAAAATATCATATACATAAGAAGTAAACAATTTGAATATACACATTATAACAAGAGAAATGAAAAAATGTGACACAAATGAAGTAGTTAAAATAGGTTTAAATCAAGTGAAGAATGTGAATTATTTAGGAACAGAAGAATTGTTTTTATGTATAATGTTTCTTTTATTAAGAGTTCAGTATCATGTTTAGCTGATGAGAGAATTTTAAAGTTGGAGAGAGAAATTAGATGTCATGTTTCAGTATCAGGTTGATAGATAGTGGAGTTGGAAGGGTTTGTAACCTTTCTTCCAGTTTTTATAGATATTCCCATGTGTTCACATGCTTGTACTTTAAGGTAATGTTTGGTTTCACCAATATAGGAGGCCTTACAGTCTCCGCACATGAATAAGTAGACGAGATGTAAACAGTGAGCAGTCAGCAAAAGATAATTGTAGTGAAAATAATTTTTAGTCTGAAATTGGGTATCATAATAACTTTCAGGTCAATTTTGGGAGAGTAAGAGTTACATACTTTTTTCAACTGTTTTGTGATAAGGGAGCTCTGTCTCCCAAGATATGGTAAGCATGTGGTTTGACAAACAAATTAGTTAAGAATAAGAAAGGTTTTCTCAAAGAAATGTATAGGATAGCCATTTTGAAAGAGAATGCTTTGTATGGAAGCAAGTTCTTTGTGACGTGCTAGATAGGAAGAGATAAGTTTGTAGGTCCTATTTTGTAGGCAGAGAATAAGATTGCATTTGAAAGAGAAGGGTATAAAACTGTCAAACTGAGTGAATAGGCCAGTAAATGTACTTTTATGACAGACAGAAGTTGTAAAGACATTAGCATCACAGTTAACAAGAATGTTTATAAAGGAAATAGAGTTATTTGTCATGAGTGAAGCATATAGAAGGGTGAATCAAGATAGTCAAGAAAGTGTTGGACATGATCAATATGTCAAAAAATAAGTATCATCAACATACCTTCTTTGAAGCTTAAAGGACATTTGTTCGTGGAGACAGACTCAAATGTTGGCAAGCGTAGGACCCAGGGGGGAACCATAGCAAGCAGGTTGAAAAATTATCAATGTTTTGGGCAAATTACCTCCATCAGGATGAGATGAAGATTGTTTAAATAAAATGTTTACCATTTATTAATGTAGTTTTAACAAGTAGTACTTGATAGGCCAACTGGCTATTTACCAGCTACTTATTTTTCAGTTCATTCAACCAAAAGCTAAAGCTGAGCAGTTAGTGATATTTCCTAATTGATTGTTTGATAGGCTCATTTATCAATTGCATCTATTAATCGATTAGTACAACACACCCTTATAACCCATACAAACAAATAAAACAGTGATGTTCCACTGTCTTAAATGTTTCAACTACTACATTATTATAGCATTCATTTTCCTATTTCATTATACATTAGTTTATTTGTTTTGTCTTTTTAGGAATTTTTGAATTATCCTTGATTTTATATAATAGACTGCTTTTTTTTAAAGTTTTGTGGACATTTCTTACTTGGTGGATAAATCACTAATGTTGACAAAGTACCACCACATGATCACCATTGTTTGTTTTTCAGATATGTAGTAATCCCACATTGATCTTCTGTAAATCAAATATATTGATGATTAAATATTCAAAACATGTTTTACTCTCACAATAAGAGATAATAATGTTTTAATTCAAAACATTTCACAATTACAATTACAAATAATTAACTAACCAGTTAGATAATTTATTCATGTATGTTGATTGAATAGGATAAATAGAGATTTGAATTGTCACAATATTTTGCAATCACTACCATATTCACTAAATTTATCTGATTTGTTGATGATTTTATTTTATTTGGTAAACATAATAAAAAACTTCATGTTTACAAATATTGCAACAAATATTAATAAGTGAAAACTTTATTTAAACAAAGAACCAAAAATCAACAAAATACCAAAATTAAGCCTTAAGCAACCTCCAGTCATGTGACTTTTTTGCTTGGCACTGTATAGATAAACTACTTAAACCTGATGATGACTAAACCTTTTCCAAACTTTGTACATTTGTCACTGTGCCAAACCTGTATTTAAAGTTTTCTTTTTTACCCATTCAACTTGCCTCTAAACTTTATAAGCTTACTTTATATCAAGTTATCTAATGTCTTCTCATTGAAGACCATTTCTTTAACTTCCAAACAGATATAACTTAACACACAAATACTTTCACAATTCACAATGAAAGTAACTTTTACAGAAAATATAATAAACAACTCTCAAACTTCCTCTGTTAACACATGCCAATCTGTTCCTTGCTCTATCTAATCATATTTATAGCTGATTTCAAAGCTTTGTTTTATTAGTAAGTGATCAAACCACTTGACATGGCACCATATCATGTTTCAACCAATGCCTGTACAAAAACTAAGGGAAATGCTTAAAAATCAAAAATTGAATAATATCAACTCTCAAGGTGTGATAGTTTCTTGCTAAAATGTTATTCCTCGGAATTGGCAGGAAAATTCTAAAAAGAATCAACAAATAGGTTTATTGTTTACAGGCAAAACTCTCTGCAGCTGTACTGAAGTAAAAATATTAACTTTTTTCTTCAAGAATTACACCAAGCAAGTTTCAGAATATGACAAAATATCAATTTTATAATATTTTTGAGTTAAAATTGTTTAACTGAATTAACATATGAAATTGCCTTACAAATGTGTGGCATAAATATGTCTTAAAGTATGATAATTTAGGAATATGTTATTTTGCTCATCCTAAACTGGTGTACATGAAAGTAGTGCAAAACCTGTAACAACTTGAAAATAATATGATTAATAGCATTCCACAGGTTTTTTCCTTTAAAATTTTGACAAGACTACTGTGCTAAAACTACTGAATTTCTGTTGTTGAATGTAAACATATTACTACTTTGTGACATTTTAAAACAACAAACTTTTTAAATAAAGTTAAGAGATTTTATCACCTTAAAAACATCAACAATAAAATATTAGCAACCACCTAATCACTGGACCATGCTGGCCTACAGCTGAAAAGAACTTGAATTAATCAAAAAAATAATCATGAAAAGTCATAATGACATATGAAAGTCATATGAAAAGTCATATTTTTATTACTTGAATAGTTGTAATAATTGCAAGCATGTGTACCTTTAGCACTTTGACTTGGAAAAAATCTTGTGATGGCTAGATTTCTTGATTCTGCATTTCTCAGCCACTTATGGGCTAATTATCTCATAAGCCAGTTGTTACAGCTGACAAAAAAAGGTTGCCCCCCCCCCAGTGGCACAGTGGTATGTCTGCGGACTTACAACGCTAGAATCCGTGTTTTGATACCCGTCATGGGCAGAGCACAAATAGCCCATTGTGTAGCTATGTGCTTAATTACAAACAAACAAACAAAAAAGGTTAATCTTAGTCATCTTTTGCAAAAGGGATGAACAGTCCAAATATTAACTGGTCATTCCATAAGAAATTAGAATCAGAGTTAAAAATGACAAATTTGGACCCATCTTTAATCAACATTGGGTTTTGTGGTCTCCATACTGTCCATGGGGGTTCTTTGTACTGCTTTCGATGCCTCTGATTGGGATTTAAAATCAGTACTTAAATTAATCTACCACCTTTTCAAAGATTTTTCAGCCAAATTTGAGAAAATTACTAGGTCTCATACATATGCAATGAAATTAATTTTGTTCTAACCGATGGGTAGAGAATGCACAAAGGACAATTGGAATTATTCCAAATTTCCAAACATACATCAAAATAATTGAAGCCAAATCAAAGTCTTACACATTATCAAAAAGTCAAGTGTTTAATACTGTGAAATGTGCATCAAATGATACCCTTTCCATAGCAATATTATCATTTTATGTTTTGATGTCTGAAGAACTCTCTTCATTTCTGATAAAATATCAGACACACCACCCTGCACTGCATTTTTGAGAAGGTTTGTAAAAGATGATTTCTATCCAAAGCAGTCCAGAAAATGTCAAATTGGTTAAGCATGTCGATATTGTTTTTCATACAACAGAAAATATGAAAGTATTTATTGCCACAGAGAAGTCAACTTCAAGAGATGAGCTTGCATTTCACAATGAGTGTTTGTCTGTTTTGATCTGTTTAATTGAGAAATTGCTAGTGAAGTGCCTGTTGAAATACTCATTTACTCGTGATGTTGCCTGTTTTTCTCATCTAAATAATACCCTCAAATGTGATGGATAATAAGACTAATTTTCATTATGTCAATTATATATTCAAAACAAGTCAAATGTATGTACAAAAAAAGATTGTTACACTATTGGTTATCATAGATGTATCCAGAGCTTTAAATAATTGTCTCATTTTTGTCAAAGTTCATACAAATGGGTTCGATTACTTTAAAACACCTTTTGATAAGACGAATTATTCTCCTATACTCTTATTGCAATACAAGCTTTGAAACTCACTTTAGAAATTACCAATTACAGCTAAACTGGCATGCAGTCTAACTTCACTTTCAGAAAGTTACTTTACTTGACTTACTTCCATTAACTTGGTCGCATATATGTATGTGTGTGTATATATATATATAGCCTGACTGTGGCCTAGAACTTTCAGCAAAATACAAGAAACTATGATGTAAGAATACACACTTTAAGCAATGA